CAAGTATCACACTACTACATTACAAAAAAAGGAGTATAACGTTACATAAAAAAAAAACAGGAAAGAATATTAGCAATGAGGTCTTGACTATTTCTCTTAAGGACAATGACTACAGTGTATAAGTCAAGGGTTCTTAAGGGTTCATAACTCTTAAGAGTTAGGGAGTTTTTTTAYTCAAGTATATTAGTCTATCCTGAAACCAGAAACGGTGGAAGGATCTTGTGGCTGATGCCAATAGAGATATTAGCCCCAGTTAAATTCTGCATTAAAGAACCTTGGACTTTGTCCAACCCCCAAAGTCATAATTATCTTGGAAATGCTACATGGTACAGTATTACCCATCTAGTCACAGTGTATAAAAYTGCATGTAGTGTACTGGCTAAAAACATTTTTAAAAATACTACTATAATCCAGCAGTACTTAAAGTGTGCTGAAGCATGATAACAAAAACAGCAAACCCTGCAAATATCATTTATCACCTTTTCTTTGCTCACCCCTCTGCAGTTCATGCAATAGCAGGGAGTCACTTCTGGCCTCTGACTTCAAAGAGCTCTATTCACTCAACACTGTTTCCTTAAGACACCCTCGGAGGTCTCTGATGCAGATATGCTAGTACAGAAAATTCACTTACCATCTTGTGGAAGACTCTCATATCCATACCTACCAGCTGCATAAATCCTGGCATTTCCTACATTACACTTTAAAGAGCTTTATTTAACAAAATCTATAGCCCTAGGCATTTCTAATGGTAATGTTTTTGCATTAATTAATAGAAAAGTTGTATGCATGTGCCATTAACATTTTTCTTTTCCAAATCAGGAAAGRGTATTGAAAGCTTACTGAATAGTTTCTGGGGAAGTTGTGTTATTTCTTGACACTGGGACTGTWTCCTAAAAATATTTTCAGACATACAGTTTCTAAAATCATTAGAAATGATTGCTGTGGGAATCAACAGCCAACCAGAAAACCAAACTAAATAAATTATCAAAGAAAAATTTATACCGAAAGCAAATATCAGAGGAGTAAACCATACAAAAATGTCCAAGTCTACATATGCTAATAAGTGTGTGTGTGTGTATAAATATATACATACAATAAATATATTTATATACACACACACATATAAAAAATATATAGTATATGGGCCTGCATATACATACACATGCATATAGGTATGCATGCAATCCAAGCATAATTTTTTATTGTAGTCAATAGACACATTTGCATTTTATAGTCATGACCTTTCAGTAAGATCTGGGGTGATTTTTTTCTATTTGTTTGTGAAAAGCACGAATCCCCAAAGAAAAGGATTAAAGGTTGTCAGTAGCTTTAGTATCACTCTTGCACTGCTTGCATGTTTGTTTTTTCTCAATTAATAGCAACATATATATATATATATATAAATATATATATATAGTATGAGCAACATCAGGGAAGCAAGCAGAGGTTCTGCAGCATGACTATGGTGCAGCTGCCATCAAAATCAGGCCCAAACATGGAATAAAACTCCTTGTGGTACCACACTGATACAGGGCATAGCCTTTTTACAGGACCCACTGAACTATAAATTACATGTTCTGTCGCCAGGCCTCCCCAGACAATATGAGCACCACCACTTTGTCTGAGCGTAATTAAGCCTCTAACTCCACCTGGCATGTTGCATTGTGTGGAGTTATTGGGAGCTCCAAACACCATTGGTGCTGCTCCGCACAACATTTGTCATCCCAGCATTCAGGCACAGCTAGACAGAGGCACACGGCTTAGGATGCTGACTATTAAACAAAGCAGCACAACTAGAAGTTAGCATTTTATACTGCTGCAAAGCTTCAAAGGCATCCATTCTTTAACATAATCCAAGCACTGGAAATATGCTTCAATAAGGTGCCAGGTATATTAGGAATTATATTCTCACGGGTGAGYGGAAGAGGTGACTCACAAAGGTTGCTGAAAATGGCATTATATTGGGCTCTAAGATGGTGAAATTTCCATCTCCTCCATCTGCTGAACCACAGCATCTTAGCTAGCTAGGGAGGAAGATGGAAAGTGCTGCTCTCCGAGGGTATTGAGTGCTCCCTGACTAATGGCCTTATTCCGAAAAGGGCAGTCAAACTTAATCGGCAAAAGAAGTAGGGCAGCCTGGTGCTRGGGAGAAAATAAATAAACCCTGCTATTTGCAAATGATCCTTGCAATCACAGCACAGAACCGCAGAGAAGTGGCCTGGGAGAAGTCATCTTGCACAAGCTCTTGCTGTAGCAGCTAATCAATGATATCTACACCATTCTCAGGAGAAGGGATGGACATGGACCTGTTAAGACCTCCAATGACAGGAGCTGATGGCAGTGCTTACCTTCCTCTACTGTTAGAAAAACTTTCTCCTAACCTGAATGTCCCTGCTGATATTTATTTCTGTTATTTCTTGCCATATCTGTGATGGATCTGGAGAATGTATTACCCCTTTAACATTGCTGAGAACAGCTCTCACATTTTTCTCATTTTTTTTTTTCTCTAGACTAATTATCTCCAGTTTATTCAATCACTCCTTATAGTTTACATTTGTTTTTCTCTGAAAGCCCCAGTCACTCCACACATTTCTTGATGCACATCCCCAAAAGCGAACATACCCAGACTGAAGTCATCTTTCTTTTCATTTAGTCAGATGCTCCAAGCTTCCAAGATTGTTTTGAAGCTAACCCTGTCCTCCACAGTACTTGCAAAGCATCTCAGCTTTATATCAGCTGCTAATTCAATAGCAGACTGTTTCAGCATCCAGATTAAAGAAGAGATGGAAGGTACTATGTGACCTTGTTTTGTACAGCCTTCCATTTGGGGATGAGACGCTGGTAATTACTCTCTGTGTAAGGTCACCCACCAGTATTTTTCCTGYCCTGTAGAAGCTTAATTAATGTCACAGATCTCTTGGCCATTAGATTAGTGCTGAGGTAGTGCCAACAGCCTTACTGAAGCCAAGCTACAACATCTACTGCTGCTTCTGTGTCTACTGGCCATATGAGAAAGTCAGGTTAGTCAGATACTGCTTCTCCTGAATAGACCCAATTAGTCCCTTATATTTGCTTTTGGAAGGTGCTTTGAGRAAGTCTAATTAACTATTGCAGGATTTTTCCAGGAACTAGTGTTTAACTGGCTGATCTACAATACCCCTAATTCTCTTTCTTCACCATTTTGAAGGGAGGTGAATGCAGTGATTCTTCCCCATCTTTCGTTGCCTGCCCCATTTTCTAGGGTAGCCTCTACCAGCTGGGAGGTTGCTTCCGCCACATCTAAATGAAACTGTCTTCATTAGAGAGCAGGATGATTTGCAAAGACCCTTTACAGGAATCTGTTATATTTGAGAGGAGAATAAACCTTTGAAAATGCTTCATTAATAATGGAATATAATTTAGATATGATGAAATATTAACATATTAAATGTTAAACATTAACATTGTTATTCCTTGGGGACATGGATCCCTACCAAAATACATTTCCCAGGAAGTGCTACAACTGGGGAGCCCCTGAAGCCTCCAGGTCTTCCCCCAGTAGGACCAGACTATGCTATAGAAGATGCTGTCTAAGAGGGACACAGAAAGAAGGCACCAAGTTATATGTATTCAGCTGGGGTACCTGACCAGCATTTCACTTTCCTCTCTCATCAGTTCTACTTATTTCTTCAAGGAGTGTGACAGTTCCAGTGGGAAGATTTCATGACAAAAAACAAATCTTGGTTTTCCTACTGAAAGAGCATCCATTTACTGACTGACATGGGCTATTAACATAATAACAGTCTCCATCATGCAGGTTATACACACAGAGGAGTGATCAGAAATGACTATTCCGTGTGCAGCCATTCCATTTCCCTCCAAAAAGAAAAACTCCAGGCAAAGAGCTTCAAAACATTAGGCACATGACCAAACACTTAACTTGCTTGAGCAAGTCCATTCCTTCAAGAAAATCCCCTATATATCTTGCAATAGACATTTCTCACTAGGGAGGTGATGGTAAAAACGCTGCCTCAGTCTATATTGCCAAAAAAATACATAGAGGACTTCCTTACGGCTCTTTCTCAAACCCTTCCCAAATAGTCCTTCCCTGGGCTGCCTTGGCAGGGCTGCAAAAGCCCGGGTTTTGTCAGCATGGGTATTTCCCTGAGCTGTGACAAACATAATGTGGGGCTGAAAGGAAGTATTCCCGTCCGAAGCATGGAGAACGATGGCACGGTTTGTGTCTGCAGCGCAAAAATGCCTCGAGAAGCCAACAGAAGCCAAACCCAAAACGTTTGATAACTTCAGTGTTGAAATACTGAACGATGTATGTTTTACACATTGTTTTACATGGCAAAAACCTAACTTCTGCAGGCTGACAGTGTCCCCCTGCAGCTGCATGGCTGCCATGGTTCATGCTGGCCCTGGTGTCACCAGTTTCACCAGTTGTGCTGTGGGGCTGCAGCAGCCCGTGTGCAGAGGAGGCACCGCGAGCCCTGCCGTGCTTGCCCTGGCACCTGCGCGGGAAGGACTTGCTGGAACGTGTCCCCACTGCATCCCTCAGGCTCCCCTGCGTGGGACACGCGCGAGAGGGCAAGCCCAGCGCTGCACATGTCTGAGGGAAAGTTTCCCAGGGAATGGAACAGCGGAGGAGACCCAGATGAGTCCGTGAGTCTTTCCTGCAGCTGATCCCAGTGCATCGGGAGCAGGAGCAAGTGTCAGAGAGCAGTCACACTCTGCTTCACACCCAGACCTCCAAATGCTAAAGCCACCACTGCAGGCACCATTTTCTGCAGAGCGAAAACATGAACTTTGGGAAAAAACAAAATCATAAAAGCTCTCCAGACCCCATGCTCGCCTTGCAAAATACTCAGTGATTATTTCACCAACGACTACGTGTGTTTTGCAGGCCAGCTGTTGAAACAGATAAAGGAGTGATTTACGATGCACACAGCAATGCTCTGCTCTGGCGTAGCAGGGAACGGGCGGGCGCAGCAAGCAAACACGAGCTGGGTACCTACCRACACACGTGTGTCCTTCGTACACCCCCGAGAAGAGCGAAGGGGCCGAYGGGCTGTTCCCGTTGGCGAGAGGGGAGGCAGAGGCAGCCGTCAACAGGAGCGCGAGCCAGAGCATGCAGAATGGGCTAGGAAACATTCGTGTAGACCCTCTCATCCTAAGGAAGGAAAGAAAGCAAAGGAAATTAACGGGGAAAAATACACATGGCCCTTTTTTTCCCTTAAGGCTCAGAGAGCATTCTGCATCCTTGTGTCCTTAGCAGCTCAAGGAGAAAGGATGCACAGGCTCGTATATACTCCTATACTCAGAGGACTCATCCGCTCATATATCCGCTTATACAACACCAGGACAGACTCCCGCCCGGACCCACGCGCCTGCCCCCCTGCCCACAGGCCCACAGGCCACCAGCAGCCCTCAGCCCCTCTGCAAAGCGCTCAGGACGCTCCCACCGCCTCCCGCGCGGCCGGCTCTTCCCGGGATGCGCAGGGAAGCGCCCGAGCTGCCCCGCTTGCCGCCGCAGCCCCTTCCCAACCTGCCGGCCCGGGCGGAGCAGGGGCTGCRCGCGCGGCTCCCGCCTTAGCCTTAGCCTCAGCCTTGGCGGCGCAGGACTAACGACCTTAAGCCACAGCGCTCGCCGGAGCCACTCAGCGCCGGCAAGGCAAGACACTCCCCTGAACAACTCGTGCTGCAAAGGGAAAGGAAAAAACAACCCACAAACCCTTCCCCTCCTCCCCACGCTCCTCTACCTTCCCTCGCTTCACAGCGCGGCAGAAAAACAAA